ATCACCAATAGATCGTCGGATAGATGCAGAATATCAATAGGCGTCCATAGTAACGGCCAATCCATGGCCTAGCAAATAAACAATAACGTGCAGAGCCTCATATGCCACACACTTCTCCATAGGCACCATGCTATAATATTGACCTTGTTTTGAATTGGTCAATGAATTGACGCTTAATTTTGTATTCTGTCAATCATATGAAGCTTATGTTAATCAGCCACTCATTTACCAGCATTACATGCAGTTGTTTACAATTAACGCGTAAAAAGGTGTCTCGTAGTACACACATTTACAGAAGAAAAAAACTTGACAGGGTTACAACAGAATCACATACCTGTGTACTGTGTTGGATATATAAGATCCTTATCTGTTAATAGATGATCCAATGTGGTGGTCTCCATTTATTAATATCGCTCCATTATTGATATTCTTTCCTGCACCACACATGTACAATGAAATAATTAAAAAGTCAAATTAGAACAGCATTCCTCTTCTTCTATAATAAACAATTTAGATATTAACAAATAATAAGTATTCAGTAGCTGAAACATAATTACTTAAATATTGTGTTGAAGATGACAATGTAATTCAATTAAAGTTTGAAACAGAGTATATAAGCAGTTTTTCCTGGTTACAAGCTGATGAACATAGTATGACAGCCATGTTCATTGTACAGTTGACTCATATAGACAGGGTCCATACAGATAAGTCAAGACAAAATTCAAGGAGTTTTCCAGGACATTTCAAGGACAATTTTTACAATTTCAAGCAGGGAATAATTTTCCCGGTATCGCATCGCAATTCGCGATGTATTTTCAGCCATTTGCTACGCATATTTTTTTATGAATCGCAGTTTTGTGCGATGCACCATGCGAGATGTAAACGGAAACATACATGTTTACAATTTACTTTTATTCTCGGGCTGCTTTGCCCCGTCAATGAAATGCCACGTTACGCCGATTTTATTGACTTGTTAACACCAAGGCCAACGTGACTTTTAAACAATCCTGCACTCCCCCCCCCTCCCGCTACATCAATCAATATGCCGCCCCAGGCACGTATACACAGCCACGCTGTGCTGCGCGCTGCACGCTCTCGCGGGCTGCCTTTCTTCGCGCGACCTTTGATAATAATAAAGTGAGGATGTGATGCTCGTGGTCGAGGAGCGGATAGCTGCCCTTCACATTTACAAATCGCTAGACTGTATTTCATCAATGTTTGGATATATACGTAAACGAACAACATTTGATTAAGTTTTAGACAATTATTTTTACTTGCCAACATGGCGAGTCAGCTTTAGCTTTCACTCGCCCGGCCCGATATTATTTACTCGACATTGGCGAGCGGACGAGTGCCAAGCTCGCACGCTGTTTAAACGCTGCGGCAGCGTACAGAATCGCTAGTGTGTCCTAGCGCTTAAACTAGCTGTGCCTGTCACAGGCCGAACACAATAATACGCAAAGCATGCACTGCGGTTAAATTTGCACTGTGATTGTCTGAAAATGCCTATACAAATTTATCCAATTGCTATGCAAATGTATTTTGTATCGCACATTTGCTATGCAAATTTTTGGCTGGAAATTGTTCCCTGTCAAGTACTAAAATTCTAGCTTAACTTAATAAATCAGCTGTTTTCAGACTTAGCACTGCTTGAAAGATTACATTACATGGAATAGAGGACATGAAAACTTCTGATTCAGAAAAAAAACAGAGTGTTAACGGTGAAAGTATTCATTATGACGAGGTTAAGGAGATTAAAAAACATGCCACATCTTATAAACTTTAACTGCCTATTTTTGATTTGCTTTTAATGCAATTTCTTTATTTATTAAATTCCAGTAGTTTGAGTACTTTTCCAGGGCAATAACAACTTTTCCAGGACAATTCTGGTATAAAACACAATATTTTAAAAATTCAAGGCGTTTACAAGGAGTCGAATCAAATTCCGGACATTGCCCATGCCGTTGCGGACCATGTATACCTACATAACGTTCGTGTATATGACCGAAATTCTTTTGTCATACATCATACAGCTTCTTGCCACCCAACGGCCTTTTGCGTAAGTTGAAAATGTGAAATTGTATGGGCCTATACCTTTCGAAGACCTGTAAGTCAGTTATCCATTTTATTACAGTCATATATTATTCGGGAGTGTCTATATTCAGGCCGGTACGGAGATTACGGTACGCATATATTTGCTAATATATTGACTATCCGTGCGTCAATAAACTCAATATTCACAGAGAGTATAAGCCTAAGACATGTGGTCTATAGGTATCTAGAATTTTTAGAAATTTATATCATCTGTAATTCACTTCTTGCGCGCATATATTTGCTATATTGACTAATCGTGCGTCAATTAAACTCAATATTCACAGAGAGTATATGAATTCAAGCCGGTACGGGAGATCATTTGCATAATATATTCTAGATACCGTAGAGACACATGTCTTAAGCTATACTCTCCTGTGAATATTTGAGTTTATTGACGCGCGATTAGTCAATATATTAGCAAATATATGTGTACCGTAATCTCCCGTACCGGCCTGAATATAGACAAACCCTATATATTCAGTATCAATTATATTGTAAATACAATACAACACATTAATCATTATCATATTTGTAGCAGTGTATTTTTCTCACCCGAAATGCAATAGCAACATACCATTTCTCAGTATAATATGAAGTTTCACTAAACTTTTCATCATCAAAAACACACTTTTTCTCTTTCTTCTCTATTTTCCTCTTTTTCGCTTCCTTCCATGCGCTGTCTTCTGAGTTGCCTCTTACGTGCCTATGGAAAAGTAGATTGGATCTGTCAGTTCATACATTTAGTAATGATTTACTAAATTATACTAATAGTAATACTAATAGATCATAAACGTGAGGTAGCTCCAAGAAACGGTATTGCTAGGGTTAGAATACCGTTTTCGAAACACAGGCTGCCAGCTAAACACGTAGTTGCCTTATATTCCAAGTATCGCCAAAGAACACCACACATGTTGATATACCAAATGAATCAGTAAACGTCCACCTTCTTGAACATCAGTGCGCTACGATGCGCTGGGTACTTACGGGGTTACAGCAACTTTTTGCACGACGAATGCAACCAAATTTATGAATTTGCCACCATGTTTGCCTATCATTCCGACTGTGACTAAAATCCGCAATGGATCGAACAAAGGAAATTAACGATCTGCGGTCATCATGTAAACCACCCCTACATCCGAGAACATGTCATCTAAGGTTTTTTTACAAATGGCCCAGACATTTCTTAACATCGTTTCACTTGCTTTGGTGTGTAATTGCCTGAGAGCCATCGTACTATTTCTGTAGTATTTTCAGCGAGTCTATTCCGTTTCGGGTTTTCCGTGCCTTGCTAACATGGCGGTTAAAGCTGATTTGAAAGTTGATATGCTGTGAGAATTAGCAGATATATACCGTGAATTAAGAGATACCATTCTAGTAGAAGCAGGACAACTGTGAGTTAACGTTCATATTTTAAACAAGGGCAAGTCATAAGGTGGTAATGGAATAGTTTTATTTGAGATATACAGAGTTATTCATCTAGATCTGCAGAGGTGATAGGTTTTTTGTATGGAAGGGTGTCAGCTGTATAGACAATCCGTCGCACAGCCTGGTCGGCCTAAAACGTGAGGTAACTTTGATACCAGACTCTGTCAAACTATGTATGGAATCAATGCCTCTATTCATTGCCGTTGTTACACGACGATGTTCGAAGGCGGGTTTTTCTCATGCCGATTCTCTAA